TCTTCAACTAGATCAGGTTGCTCAGAGCTCACTCCAGCCTGACTTTGAATGTTTCCAGAAATGAGGCTTCTACCACCTCTCTGGGCAACCTGTTCCAGTGTCTCATCATCCTCATTGTAAAAAAAAAATTTCTTGCTTCTGTCTAGTCTAAATCTACCCTCTTTTAGTTTAAAACCATTATCTCTTGTCCTGTCACAACAGGCCCTGCTAAAAAGTCTGTTCCCATCTTTCTTAGAGGACCTTTCCCAGTATTGAAAGGCTGCAATAAGGTCTCCCCGGAGCCTTCTCCTCTCCAGGCTGAGCAGCCCCAACTCTCTCAGCCTGTCCTCACAGGAGAGGTGCTTTTTTTTTTATTTTTGTGGCCCTCCTCTGGACCCTCTCCAATAGGTCCATGTCTTTCCTATGCTGGGGACTGCAGAGCTGGACACAGTACTCCAGGTGGCGTCTCAACAGGGCAGAGTAAGGGGGTAGAATCACCTCCCTCGACCTGCTGGCCATGCTGCTTTTGATGCAGCCCAGGATACAGTTTGGCCTTCTGGGCTGGGAATGCACATTGCTGGCTCATGTCCAGCTTTTCATCCACTATTACCCCCAAGTCCTTCTTTGCAGGGTTGCTCTCAATGCCTTCTTTCTTCAGGCTGTGCTGATACCGGGCATTGCCCCAGTCCAGGTGCAGGACCTTGTACTTGGCCTTGTTGAACTTCATGAGGTTCACATGGGCCCACTCCTCAACCTTGTCCAGGTCCCTCTGTATGGCATCCTGTCCCTAAGGCGTGGCAGCTGGACTACTCAGTTTGGTGTAATCCACAAACTTGCTGAAGCTGCACTCAATCCCACTGTATGTCATTGATGAAGATATTAAACAGTGGTCCCAATACAGACCACTGAAGGACACCACTTTTCACTGATCTCCGTCGGGACACTGAGCCATTGACCACTACCCTCTGAATATGACCATCCAATCAGTTCCTCATCCATCGAACAGTCCAGCCATCAAATCCATATCTCTCCAATTTAGAGAGAAGAATGTTGTGGGGGACCATGTCAAAGGTCTTGCAGAAGTCCAAATAGATGACATCTGTAGCTCTTCCCTTGTCCACTGGTGTATACTCCATCATAGAAGGCCACTAGGTGGGTCAGGCAGGACTTGCCCTTGGTGAAGCCATGCTGGCTGTCTTGAATCTCTTCCCTGTCCTCCATGTGCCTTGGCTTCTAGAAGGATCCATTCCATGATTTTCTCAGGCACAGAGGTGAGGCTGACAGGTCAGTAGTTCCCAGGGTCCTCCTTCTTACCTTGTTTAAAAATGGGTGCAGTGTTTCCCTTTTTCCAGTCGCCAGAGACTTCACCTGACTGCCATTGTCAGCTCATGTCCAGCTTTTCACCCACCAATACACCCAAGTCCTTCTCTGCAGGGCTGCTCTCAATCTTTTCATCCTCGGCCTGTATTGATACTGGGGGTTGCCCCAACTGAGGTGCAGGACCTTGCACTTGGTCTGTCGGAGAGTATATCAGGTGCTTCAGAAAGTGGAATTAATGAAAAACATTGCTTTGTAAATAAAGTATTTCAATTTACAAGTAGTTCACTTATTTTAGTGCCTAATAATTTTATGAGCTCTTTTGAATGCTGGTTGTTTGTAAGCATTTTATAGAGTTCAGTAATCAATCTGTATAGTGGTTAGGTTTTTGACACAACCTCCTAGATATAACAGAGGAGAGGAATAGCCTACCTCCTGTACTTCACCCATAGGTAATTACTCTCAGGATAATACATAGAAGAGTGTGTTTCAAAATCAGACTTCAGTAAAAGTGTCTGTCAGATTTTTTTTTTTTTTTCCCTGAAATGAATGAGTAATTTTCATAGTGAATGTGACTCTTAGGTTGGTTCTTGTCCTTCAGCAGAAATTAGAAAGCAAGATGAAGGATTTGGACAGTACCAAAAGAGAAAAGCTAGATGCCTTTCCAGATATGATGAATAATTCTGTATTTACTTTGAGTGACATATGCTTACATGAGATGTAGGTCGTCTATTGAATGAGTGTGTTTAATACAAAACAAATAGTGTCTTTCCCTCAGTTGTATACTGGATAAGGTCAAGCCCCCAAGGGGAAAATGGCATATAAAAGTGTATCTCAAGGCAGATATGTAAGTGGACTTATTTAAGGTTGCACAGGCAATATTAATTTGCTAACTCTGAATTTTCAATCTGCAAGTTATTTTTAATGTAAAAGTAGTCATGGTTCAGTAGCACTGGAAAAAGAAATTCTATGTCTTAAGACACTAGTATTTAAACTAATTTCATAGTTATGAACCTTATATTGAGTATTATCTAGGTCTGACAAAAACAGGTCTAAAATTGTTAGACATTTAAGGATGAGGGCAGCCACATTTCATCAGAGGTGAATAGCAGACAGTACATACAAATGCAAAATACCAAAGGAGTATGGGCATCCCAAAGCTGAGTCAAAGGGATATTCACTGGTATTAAAGGAAAAACACTGAACTTTTATGATGAACAGTCCAAACTACCTTTTCCCTTTTTCTTTGTTGGACTAGTAT